CTCGATAATCCAAAAGCAGTGGGTAAAAAAAAGGAAAATGTAGTCGGTTAAACATTCATTCAAGGATCAACATGAGGCAGCTGAGTCTATCTAAAGTAATTATGACAGATTCTGTGTACATGATTATTTTACTGTTGCTTCCGGAAAGTGATTAGTGAATAGGGTTGGGAAAAAATACTGATATTACAATGAATCGTAATTTTCATTTTAAAGATCTCTACTTCGAATCCCAAGAACTATCCTTTATGTTGCCAGCACAGTTTTCAGTATCGCACTTTGCTCAATCAGTCATTAATGAATTAAATGAATTTACCATCTTGATCTTTGAATCTCATTCAGCAGCAAAATGTGCTCATCTTTATTCAAATCATGTTGTTCATTGCTAAAAGATTAAATTTCATGATATAATGTTAACATTTTCAACAGGCAACTTCGCAGAACAAGCAATCATACCAACATATATGTATTTTTTTATTCTGAATTAGGAAAATTATTATAATGCAGCCAAAGATACATTACAAGACAAATAACCTCCAGAGTCCTGAGTCTTTCATTCATTTATCATTTGATCCAACATGTTTTATGTGAGCTGCAGTTCGAATTTAAATAAGATATAACATATGCATGGTACCACATTTTTATCAAATTATCCTTGCGTACTGCAGGCAATTTATACATATGATGAGTATGATTCACAAACAAATGCCCTTTTTTAGTAAATCACAAACATTCAGCGCAACCATTGTGGTCAGATTCAAAAACAAATTACTCTTATAAACCGGTTCGTTTTAGTGAATTAAAAACATTCAGTGCAACTGGTGTAGTACCACTGACAAACAAACTACTCTTATATGAACCGGTTCTTTTTAGTCAATCAACGGCGCAACTGCAAGTGTGATATTGCTTTTACACAACAGTTCAATAACCAAGAAGTTAATATTTCCAAACAAAACCACAAAGGAATAATGTTAAGTTCCAGTCAACACACAGTGGGAGGGGTTCCTGAATGAATCAACATTGTGACAAAATTGATTCAGTGACGAACTCGTAAAGACAATACTTTTCACCAACTGGCTTAATGTAATCTTCTGAAAGAATCCTCACAAACTAATACACAGACTGAAGCCGGAGTATGTCTGGAATGGCAAACACATACAAGTGGAGTGATACAAGCAGTGAAAAGTCCCAGAAATCTTAACAGCTTTACGGAAGAAAAGAAATTGAAAGTTAACTTCATTCACAAAATACTTAACAATTTCATTTTTTAAATTAATATTTTTATAATGCACCAAGAAGGTTCCCTGTATAATTAAGATAGTTTCTTGGATATGTAAGCAAAATGGACACTATAGAAAATCTGAAATACGTTTCCACTCTGGAAATAAATCGGAAAACAATTTGTATTATGCAATGAACTAACAGTTAACAGTTTCTGATTGACAGGCAAGTACACAGGCTCATTGTCTAAAAGCAGCACAATGGATTAAGCTCAACTCAGTCAACTTTAAAGAAGCTTATTACACATTGCATTAGTTATGAGGATGGCTGTTGCTTCCATGCAAATTTCAGCAGTGCGACACAATAGGATCCACCTGCGCAGTCACTCTGAGATAAATATAGAGGGGAAGAAGAGCTTACATCTGCTGCCCAGCTTTTGTCACCTTGCCATGTTTCCTTGGATATCCATCTTCCGTTGGCCACACACCTCCACTGCACCTCCCTCTGAAATCCCCCCACATCTCTCCACCGATTGTTTTACGAACATGGCTGTATGCCTGCAGTTTCAGGTGACATTAAATAATGACATCAGCTAAAAGCAGCAAGCAAATGCCGCTTCATTCATGGACATCGGACCATGAGTGATGCATATCGGGTGCTTTTTGGCTTCAGACAGGCTAGTGTTCCTTATAATGGGGGTGACACTCTGCTAACACTATGCAGCTGAAAGACAACATGACATAGGAGTCCATTTATGGAGTGTTCAGGAATGTGGCGGCCCGTGGTCTGGCCAGCACCTCATATTCCGAATCAGTAGACCATTGAACTGGGTCACGTTTGTGTCTATCATTGCAGATGAGCATCACCCATTAACCTTTAATTACCAGAGCACTCTTATATAGAACAGAGCTTTTTTTGATGAGCGAATCCCTCTTTATCAGCCAGTAACTTCAGCGATGTAGCCAGGTGGATCACTGACCCCCATAAATCGGTCCCACAAAGTGCAAATCCTTTCATCTGTCACACAACAATCCTCAAAGCAGACGAGGCAAATTTGTGAGATTGAGGTATTTGAGGGAGTCAGGTAGCTTGAGCATCCAGGTCTGGGAGAGATCAACTACACTCCCATCAACATGCATGTGCAAGGTCAAAGTGAGAAAGTACACAAGCTTTCTTTGTTCAACACTCCAAACTTTTCTCAGGAAGCTTATCTTAGTCCTGACACAGGGTTCAAATTAGGGATGGCAGAGGACTCTTGCTTTATAACAGCTAAACATGTTTGTGCACAAGTTCCACTGGTGAAACTAATAAAAGGAAATAATGTCTTTAACACGCATTCCACAGTTTATGTATTCAAAAAGGGCTATAGCCAATTTGGGACTACAAAAATGAAGACTGAAAATGGCTTCATTTCTTTAAAAAATTAATTAATTAAAGGGATAGTTCACCCAAACATAAAAATTCTGGCATTAAAGGCACAATATGTAATTTTCGCCACTAGAGAGCATGTATTCAAAATAAACAAATAGACAAAGGCATAGTTTGATGGCGCCGTGAATCATGGGAGTTGTCGTCTTCATCCCCACAGCCGATGCAATCCGACGGGACTCGGGCAGAAATCATGTCCATGGATGAGCTAATGATTTATTAACATAGTAGAATGAAGCAGGGTGAGGCTGAAAGCCGTCGAAGCGAAACAAGGTCGCTGAACGAGCGTGACACATGGCTCGAAAGCAGCGGAGCTTTTATTATGCCACAGTCGACCGCTTCTGCTCCTTCCGGTCGTGCGTATGTGGGGGTTTATCGCTGCTCTCCCTGCTCTCATCCATGCTAGGCTGCATGGATGCGCAGGGAGTTTTTGCCCAGAACAGAACCATACCGCCAATCCAAACTGTATGCTAATTGTCAATCATCTTTGACGATAGTGGTCCTGACAGAATAGTGGTTTTTGGATATTTTAATAAAAAAATCTTACATATTGTGCCTTTAATTACTCACCCTCATGTCGTTCCAAACCTATTAGACCTTTGTTCATCTTCGGAGCACAAATTAAGATATTTTTGATGAAATCCGAGAGCTTTCTGACCCTGAATAGACAGCAAGGCAACTACCATGTTTAAGGCCCAGAAACGTAGAAAGGAGAAAAAATAGTCCACGTGACAACAGTAGTTCAACCGTAATTTTATGAAGCATAGCTTCATACAACATTTCTGTGCTTTGAACGTGGTAGTTGCATTGCTGTCTATTCTGGCCCTGAAAGCACTCGGATTTCACCAAGATGAACGAAGGTCTTACGAGTTTGGAACGACATAAGGACTATTCCTTGAACTATTCCTTTAAACAAATTGGGCATAGATTCTATTTTTTGTAGATAGATAGATAGATAGATAGATAGATAGATAGATAGATAGATAGATAGATAGACAAACAGACAGCTTACTCAAACATGGATCTAATGAACCTTTTTTGCTCTACAGATGGTTCTCCTGGCTCGATGTGAGGGTCACTGCAGCCACACGTCCCGCTCAGACCCGCTGATCTCTTTCAGCTCTGTCCTGAAGCAGCCTTTCAAAAGCACGTGTTTCTGCTGCCGTCCACATACCTCTAAATTGAAGGCGGTACGTCTGCGATGCTCGGGCGGGACACGGATAACCGCTACTTACCGTTACATCCTTGCATGCAGCTGCGAGGAGTGCAGCTGAATAAATTTGTCATGGAGAAAGACCCTCTGGCTGAAACACATAAAAAAAAAAGTTGAAGGTACACTTTATTGCTGATGATTCAGAGCAAGCATTTTACGATTCATTAGCACTGCCGCAATGTTGCCAACAACCCATCAAGACTTCAAGAAGAATCACGTCACGTGTAAAGCGGCGAATGCACTCTGATTTCCAGATGTCGGCCCACCAGTCGCACCTGCGCATGCGCTCAGCCAGTCAATTTACTTTTATTGCATTCCATTGTTTTGATCACTGCGTGTGTAAAATAGCGGATGCCGACAACAAAATCGTAAATCTTGAAGGAAATTTGATGAAGCTGAAGCTGAAGGGGAGTCACTTTGGCAGACTATGTTTTACAATATCTGAGAGACTTTATACACAGACCAGGACAGAAATGTTTGCATAGACAATGCAAGTGGTGAACTATAAAAGTTTGAGTTATGTCTAGAATAGAAATTGATAGTTCACCCCCCTGAAGTCTGGTTTGGAATCACATGACAAAATGTTGGGGCGAATTGTCCCTTTATGGTCTCTGGATTTGTTCCAGCATACATTTTTGCTTCATTATACTGGCTTAATATTTAAACAATGAAAAATACTCTTGTAACGATCATATTGCCAATTTTAGACTTTGTAAACCTCCTACAGCTTTTTTACTGTGGAGTTCACAGCAATCTACTATGCCAGACTGTATGTGGAAAATGTCAGTGTTAAGTCTGTTTATTTCAACATCAAAGTCTCGCAATGGCTCATGACACATAATAGCAGCAGGTTGTCAAGCTAATCACGTACAGTTATGATAACTATGATGTTTGCATTGTGGTATTGTACAGTAAATGACGAGTACCATGTATAAAAAAAAGGAAAGAAAATGTATTGTTCCTCAAGTTTCTCTTGTCTGTGGAAATAAATTCACCCTCTACAAATTGATGAAACTGTACCGCTGGGAAATTATGACAGTTTGCTTGCTGGACAGGTTTGTACTCCACTACAAACCTGACAGCTTTTTGGGCTCTGCACATGAATCTAATAAACAGTGCCCTTTTGTTTTTAAAGACTGACTGGCTGCCTTGTGCTAGCTGTCTTGTTACACATACTTTGGCTCCTCGATACAATGTGACTTTCAGTGGGGCTATAATTAACTTAATGGTTAATTTGACAGCATGACAGACAGTCCACATAATAGCTGTCAGTTGAGTTCTCTGTAATTTTTATGGCTGCCCCAAGACATCTCCCCACACGATCGGCTGCAGAACCGAGGCACCTGGTTAAATGTCATATCACATTGTTCTCTGACCTTCCTTTAATTCTAACAGAACGTTCCAGGTGTTGTACACATGTGCTTCTTTATTCCCTTTCTAACAAGTGATAATTCAAGCAAAACCGACAAGTGATTTAAACAGAAAGGGGTTAAGTATTTCACCTGATTACTGCTAATTGAAGCCAGTCCTTATTTTGGCCCAAAAGTGTGACTTTTCCTTTTTCTGTGAAGTCCACTTGAGTGAAGATGATGTTTAACCATCTAAAACAAAAAAGGTAAGTCATTTTCTCCCAGAAATCGCACAGAGATCCCATGATTCTGGAATAAAAGACAATGGAATTGTGATCATTGAATCGACTCAACTGCAATTATCCTTTTGATCTCTCATAAAATACCAATATGAGGCAGTGTATTATTCTGTCCTCTCACTTTATTGAACTCAAACCAATATCAGCTGCAATTTTTCATTACTTAAATTGAAATTATTTGCTTGTGCATTTTTATTACTCACTCTCTTCTTTGAAACAATCCTCCTTTACTGAGCTTGTGCACACAGCTACTTGCAATAAAATCTGTTGTCAGAGAAAAAAGCAAAAACACTGTATGTTTTACACATTGTAAAGGGATGTACCTCATTCCGCTAAAAATGTTTTTACATTTAATCAATGATAGTGCAAGGAGTATAAAAAGGTAGCATATATGCTAAAGTAACGCCAAATGAATCAACATCTTGATATAGGCGCTATTGCTGTTCGAGTTGAGTTTCCATGTTGCACACTTATGTAGCAATTACGCCATCTTGTGGAAGAGATAGTTGCTGGACTGTTCTGGCCTTCATCTTTTCTTTTTCTTTTTTTTTAACATTCTATTGAAAGAAATATTTCAGCCAAAATTCTGTCATTAATTACTCAGTTTAATGTCCTTTTCCTTCTTCCGGGGAGCACTACAAGAGATACTATGAAGAATGTTCATGCAAGTCTTTTATCTACAATGGAAATATATATAAGAGCTATCAAGCTCCAAAAATGTCTATACAGCCCTACACTATATCTCAAGTCATAAGTCAAAGCATTCCAGCCACAGCTAAAAGAAAATCTTATCAGTGAGTATCTCACTCTCAATCAAAATAACTGAAAATGTAGACATTCATTGAATGCACAGCTACTTATTCTAAAATGTGGGTATTATTGCATATTGTATATTGTAATATTTCAAATGAAATTCATACATTATTAAGATTTATCTATCATAATATTGCATATGTATGTATGTATGTATAAAGTTTGTTTTGTATAACATTTGTTGCTTGCATCTTGGAAAAAAAAGATGTTAAAAGATTCACCTTACTGAAGGCCAGTTGTCTGACATATAAACTTTCCTGCACCATAAATGACTATATCATGTTTCAATGATTTTCTGACAAGCATTTTAGTAAAAGTATGGATCTGCCAGCAGAAATTGGATATAGGCCACCAATATCTTTATATTTTTCTAAGGGCAAAGAGATGTTCTTGTGTTGAGTCTGGGTAACTTGCTTACTCAGATGAGATCAACAATGGATTTGGATTATCTGTACATTTGGATTATCTGTTATACTTATCATGGACATTATAATATATGGCCTGACAGCCCCATCCGGAAGTGAGGTTTAAATATATATACTATGATATGTCTCAGCCTGAAGCAACATGACTACATCCACCAGATGGCAGCAAATTCTATAAGAAACAGTGGATACACTGGTACACAACAAAATAACAGACACACAACTAAATACAGACCAAGTAGAAAAAAAGAAAGAAAAAGAAACCTTAAATGGGACATTACAATCATACAGTAGCATAAGTTTATTTCTTTATATGGGGAAATGTTTTGTTAAAAGCGAAACTGTTGTTTGAGATTTTCTTATCTAAGGGGGGAGGAAGTGTAGTGTATTGAGTTGAATATACCCAGAATAAAGTACAAGTACTGTTGGGGTACTCCGGGTTAGATTCTGGTTGGCCAGTTGGTTGTCCAAGGAGGACACCTGTGTTAACGGAGCTGGTGTTCGGTTGTTGAACAGTAAAATAAAAAAAGAAGAACTGCCCATCGTTGTCTCTACTTTTATTTGTGTTACTTCGAACAAACACAACAAGTCTGGATCTCCATTAGTAGAGTAGAGCGACATAACTTTTCGTTTCCCGCTCAAAGCCTCCTCTAGTCAATCAGCTTCAGATCCACTCCTGGTTTTCCATTTTCTGTTTCATGCGCACCAACCGTGAACCGCTTTCCATCGCCAAAGAAAATACAGATGCTTGGACTTTCAAAAAAACTGTTACAGGTGAACTCAGTGGCGGTTTAGCACCCATTAAAGGGGTGGCTCACTGTTTTTTTTTTCTAGGCTTGGTTGTGTTTATGGGGTGCAGTCTAACATGTGTTAATGCTTAGTTTAAAAAAAACACATTGTTTTTCACATAATTGACTTTTATTCCACACTGCTCTGTCCCTTCTCTGAGAAACACGCTGCGCATTTCCTGCTTTTTATGAAGCCCCGCCCTCAGAAATGGGCGATGGGCTCTGATTGGTTAGCTAGCCCAGTGTGTTGTGATTGGCTAAACCGCCTCTAGTGCATGTCTAAACGTCCCGCCCCTAACCTCAGAGGCATGTGCTCCAGTTGTATGGTAAACAACGGTGTTGTTAATATCGCTTATCAGTTTGAGCCCGATTGAGAAGCAGAAGATATTATTGAAGAGGATCATGCAGAACCTGTGCAAGCACAGCTTTTAATGGTAGGCCTATGTTTTTTGTTTGTTGTTGTAGCATTTATTTGTAAATGCTACTGCTTATGTTAGCTTTTAACATACTGTTTAATCCTGATTAAAGCTTTAATACAGTGCGGCAATATGTTTAACGTTTCTCATAGCTATGTGAAAATAAGTGTTTAATTGGAACAGTTCATTGTTGGAGCTGAGCTGAATGAGAGAGAGAGAGAGAGAGAGAGAGAGAGAGAGAGAG